ATCCCTTAAGATAACTATAGAGCAGAAGAAACTGCCGCAGCTGATGTACATAAGCTAACTATGCGTGTTTGTATGCCTATATATATATGTATATATCTGCATCTAAGCTGTACATGTATTTCGGCATGTGAATGTAATTTAATCACACTTAAACCTATGAAAAACACCCAAAAATTATTTAACTATTCAATATTAGGAGTTCAGCCGTTTGATATTCTTATTAAAATATATACACATATATACATACATATGTATATGTAGTTTCGAATATGTTCCTACCGTACAAACTTACGTTCTCTTTTGGACGGAACAACCCCTAACTAACATTAGGCCTGCGTGTCACTCACCCTATAACCGCTCTCAGCTCTAGCGCTCGCATCCTTACTAAAATGTATTTGTACATAATTTACAAAATTACAAAATAACACCTAGGTAATCTTTTTACAGAAACATTTGTTTTAGTTTCGATTCTCAAACGGAAAATATCGAATGCAGTAAAATAAATTTCTCTTTCTTAAGAGTTGGGAACTGTATGATAATACGCACACATTTCAATACTGACTCGTACACACATGCACATGCATCGTATCTGCATATACAATAGGATCTCAGCCACGCCTCGAATCGGATATAAAATTCACAAACAAATTAGACAGCACTATTTATACATGAGCAAATTTTATTGTTTTTAATTAGCAACAAACCATACTTAAATTTTCAGGTTCGGGTCTTTTTTTTTGCCGGTTACAAAGTAATTTTTTGCCGGCTTCACAAATTAACATATATGTAATTTGAACATGTAAAGAACGTCAAAGATACAGAAACTGTTAACAGAATGAAAAATATACAGAGCACACAACAGACTGTTCTCTCCTATGTGTATGTACACAACTACAACATGGACCAACATGTTGCAGCGCAGACTTGCTCAGTTGGCAAAGCGTACATCAGCGCATGCAACACATATACAAGCGGTAACAAGTAAGAAGGCTCCAGTCGAGACTGTTCGCTAGGAGATACCCTGAACCGTCTAAGCTGATATTCTAATCATTCTGCACTTCTTTTATGCACACAAACATACACATGCGACCACATGTACGTATAAGCAACTGCGCAGTAAGCAGAGGCTGCGCTTGGGCTGCGCTGCAATGTGGGCAAAAATTTATGAAAATTTATTAGTTGAATAATTTTTTTGTAGACGGACAATCTTGATGAAGTCTCTAGTACTTTAAATTCGCTCTTTACAAATGGGGGGCGAAGAGGGCGTGGTATCCAAAATCTGTAAATGACAAAATCTTTGTATTCAACTAATGTATACATACACATAGTAAATCTTAAGTCTCCAGGTTTAAAAGTGGTCAAATTAGGCTGAAAAAAAAAAAAACAAAATCAATTCTTCGAGTTATCGAAAAAATATCATAAACTTGTACTGCGTATGGTAAACACAAATATGTATGTATGCCAAATTTCAGCTCTCTAGCTCTTATAACTTCTAGGATCAACGCTTTCATACGGACGGACAGGGCTATATCGATTCAGCTCGTCGTGCTGATTAAGAATATATATACTTTATGGGGTCTGCGATGATTCGATGATTGACGACTTTTAAAAAGTAGTTTCTGTGGGTGTTTAAGATCATTTTCGTTTTTTGGTTTTATTTCAATGAGCTTTTTAAGTTTATAATACATTTTATATCGTATCCATATTGAAATTCGATAATATAGATAAAACTATTATTTGCGATGCTTTTGAAACCCGTAATCTTGGATATATATACGCATACGCATCAAATTGAATGTAATGTTTTCAGGTTGGAAAATCATTAAAATTAATCACTTTATAATCTATTGTGTGGGAAATTGTTGTTGCTGCTGTTGATGGAGCAATTGCTGATGATGTCGACGTTCGCGTGCACGTTCTATATGTCGTTTCCTTTCTTCCTTAGTCCAATAACGTCCGATCTTAACCTCTGATATTGTATCATCCTCAGTTGTTGTTATTTCGTTGTTACGTATATTTTTACGTATACCCATGCTCATATTACGTACTGGACGTTTAACTATATATCTGGTTCCATCTGGACGCCGTTTTACTTTCCACACCATTGGGATTTCCTTCGAGACATTTTCTCCTAAAATAGAGCTTGTCTTTGGTGTGGTAAGAGTCTTATTTGCGACCTAGTTAAAGAAAACAGCACAATTAAATATATTGAAATTCAAGACGTGAAATACTGCATTAGAAAACCTAATTAAAGCTGCATGTCTACAATAGAGATCTATGCTTTGATTTATACATTTCGTACTTACTACATCCAAAAATATATTAATATAATCCAAATTTACATTAAAAAATTTGAATATTGAATTTCTGTCACCGTTCTATATAATTCTTTTTGATGAGGTGAAAATAATTCTTCATTTTTCCTCTATTTGATGATTCATATATAATTAACTTTTTCGTACATGCTTTTTATATGCATTATAAGCCTCTGCTTCTTAACAATTTAAATTTCATTTCTTAAGTTATGTCTTTTATTTGATTCTTATATATTAATTAATCCATTATTTCCATTTCATATTTTTATTATGCTTCAAACCGTTTTTAAAATATGTAACGATTTCTGTGATAAATGAATACCACTATATTTCGTACCTACAAAACTATCGTTCATTATGATCATCCATATAGGTATTAGATTATTTGTTTTATTACAATAGTGTTTACCTCTTGACTGCTAACAAAATGATAGCGACTCAAGTTGGGAGCGTTAAATTGCGGACATGGGCTTTGTTGTTCCTCGTTTGGTTTGGGTCGCATTGTTTTAGCGTCTATTTTAGCAATTGATGCGAAAGGATGCAGCTCGTCGGCTGATATTTTATTTAGTGCAACAGTTTCTAAAAAATAATGAGTAAATTGTAATTCTTAGTGTTTATGTAATTGAATATGTTAATCTCAATTAGAACTATTACGTACCGGAACTGTGTTGGGAACAGACTATACGGCCAGATTTTATAAATGGTAGCAAAACGGGTTGAAACGAGGTTATAGGGTTGTTAGGAGTTGTATTTGCAGTTGCCGCTGAAAGTGAAATTGGTTCGACCTCTAAATTTATGGCATTTTGGTGAGGCGAAGCACTATTATTGGAGCCACCCGTATTATAGGCACTTGAAGAATTTTCTACCTCTTCCTGCTGTTGGGTTATACATTTATTTTCGTTGTCACCATTAGTTGCACTACAGTTAGCTCCACTGCTGCTTGATTCACTGGTGTTTGTTTTAGCACTGCGTAGCGTATAAACTCTATTCGATATTCGATGTTGTTGCTTATGGTATAAGCTTGGACGGCCAGCCATCGTATGAACGGATCTTGCATTGAGCTGAGATTTAATCCCTAACCATTGGGCTACACGTTGCGTTTGCTGTTGCATTTCTAAAACATCCGATTCTGCCATCATTCTTGATGAGCAAGATCCCATTGCAGTCATATAGTTGGAGCTTTGATATGGTGAGCAATAGAGGGGTTCTGACTCAGAATCCTCGGGAATTGTTTCGTAAATATGCTCGCAATCATCATAATCATATTCTTTACTAATTATTGTTGTTCGCAGGCTTTTGTCTATGATTGGTTTAAAGTCCGTTTCATGGCTCATTCCTTGCACATTGCCAATGTACAACTTTTCTGTGACACTAGTTTGAGTTTGTCCTTTGTTTTTTGACTTTTCGAACATCGTTTGCGATCCACTGAAAGTTGCTGGTAAAATAGATTTAATAGGTTTTGCCGCAGATTCTGTTGTTAAATTGTTATCGCTTGTTTGCCGCTGTTGCGTTACGAGTAGTTTATCCAATTTGTCCACGACATTTGTATATTCATCAGATAGAATGCTGTTGGCATAATCAAAGTTACTGTCGATTTCTTCATCATCCTCATCGACATCATCGTCGTCATCCTCCATTTTAAATTAAAAGTGAATATCAGATGGTGTTTTATATATAATTCTAAGTACTTACGGGATATAGAACTCGACTGACAAGCAATGTAACAGACGAAGTATTTTCAGCTATTTGCGTTTCGGCATGTTTTTTACTCTTGATGTCTATGCCATTAATGCGCAAAATTTGATCGCCACGACGGAGTCGACCGTCGCGCTCAGCTAAGCTCTCTGGCTGTATATCACTTATGAAAACGTCATCACAGGCATCAGCGTCAGCATCGACATCAGCGTCAGTATTAACGTCCGCTTCATCTCTTATTAAGTCTGCATTCTGGTTGCATATCACAGGATTAATAATATTCTCTTCGCAGTCCCTGATACTGTAGAAGTTATTGCAGGACACAGTGAGTCCAATTTCATCGTTAGTTGAATCATTTTTCACGAGTGTTACTTCCTGCAAATCATATGTTCTATAAAATTCTTCTTCATGCACTAAAACTTACCTCGATGTCGATCTCTGGCTCCAAACACTGCTCAAACAGATGATGCTCTTGCTCAATAAAATGATCGGCAATTGTTTGTGCAATATTTTCGTTATGATTGAATTTTTTGTTAGTTTTATTGAATGCAACAAACTTGTCATTCGTTTTTTTCTCCTTCGATACTGGTTCGGTTTGATCGCTGTTTTGAAATGTTCGTAACGTTAAAATAATTTGATTTTCAGCTGACACTGATAGAGGTGGCATCGGCAATGAATTGAAATTAATATTTTCTGAGGCACTGGTTGCTTTTGCATTAGATACTTGAACATTTTTTACTCTTGAACAAATATCGTCCTTCTGCAGGTCTCCGGAGGTGACGGGATTTCGCTTTCGGCATAATTCAACTACTAGGGTTTCTTTAGCTTGAAGGAACATTTGAACCGCTTCATAACTAGACAATGATGTAATGTCGCTGCCATTTAACTGTAATTATTGCAATAATTGAAAAAAACGTGAGAATGAACAAGCCTGCAGAATGCTGCACGCATGCATTATTTTCTATGGTTGAAATCGTTTATACGTTTGTGTGCAGTTGTTTGGTCTCGGTTTTTTGTATTTAAACTTACCTTTAGCACAACATAATCTAACTCAACAACACAGTTATTAGAGCACATTTTGATAACAAATTACATAGCTTTATTAATTTGTATTCCGTGAAATAAATCCACACCCACACAACAGAAATACAGACATCGTTTATCATTTCTAAATTCGCCGCGACTGTGTGACCATAGTGCCTATTTCTTCAAAATCTTATTATCGATTATTTGAAAAATCTGTATACTACCACTGACCAAAGACCACTGTGTCCTTTGGTCAGTGATACTACTTTAAGAGAATTTCAGAAGTAAACGGACTAATTTATAAGCAAAAACACTATGTATACTACAATTTGTTAGATCAAGTTGTTTATGCACTCGACTTAGGAGTGAAAATATTATAAAATACTGTCATATTCGAAACGACTATTTGTTCCTCGTGGTGAATGGCAATTGCAGACATTAAGATTATTTATATTGCACTATGGTCTAAATTTTGTTTTTATACCCTGAACCCATTGAAAATGGGAAATCAGGGTATAATGATTTTGTTGAAATGTATGTAACAGGCAGAAGGAGGCGTGGCAGACTCCACAAAGTATATACAATATATTCTTGATTAGGGCGACGAGTTGAGTCAATTTGGCCCTGTCCGTCTTCGGACATCGATAACTCACCCCGTTATTTTATTATCGATAAAAACCTTATCGAAAATCCGTTTTTAAGTTATATCTCCTACATCTTTAAAGCTAGAGTTTCCACATTTTAAATGTATACCGTCTTTTCACATAGATCTCCGTATTTTAAAGGAGGTCTACGTGCCTACGTGTGATGAGACTAAAACAACGTACTTTTATAAAATATTGCAAAATACCCTAAAAACTAAAAGTTTTAGGTATTGATATTACCTTTGTAATTATGAATTAAATAAAAAAGATGATATTATTTACATTGGGTTAGCAGCACTAAATTCCGTTTTCGATATGTTTACGAATGCCGTTTTAAATGGGTTAGCAGCGCTAAATTGCAAAAAGATTGGCATCGCTTACTTTAGAATTTGTGCTTGAAATTGGAGGGAAAAAAAATTTATGTGACACCGACGAAGAAGCAAACGTAAATCCAACCAAGAGGAAGCGGTACCGCCAGACGACTTTTGGCGTTATGTTTCAAACCTAAAAAAGGGAAATTCAACCATCTTGACGGAGTTAACCCAAAATTTACTTGATTTGCCACATAGCAGTGCTAATGTTGAGCGTTTATTTTCAGAAATTAATTTAATTAAGACAAATAACAGAAACAATTAGACACGGAGACTTTAAAAGGATTGCTTCACACCAAAAGTGGATTAAAGGAAAACTTTGAACTTATCAATCATCTAAATTTATTATATCCTCTCCAAATAGGCCACATCTGTGGCAATACCCTTCTTCCAATGAAAAATCCAATCATTGAAACACTTGAAAGCTATATTCCGGGATGGACAAAAGTTCTCGTTGCGAATTAGTTTTTATGTCTTCAATGCTCTCAAAACGGGATCCATGAAGTGGTAATTTTTGTTTTGGAAACAGGAAAAACTCACACGGGGCCATATCTGGAGAGTACGGTGGTTGTTCGATGATATTTGTTGAATTTTTGTTGAAAAACTCGTTAATAATGATCGCTTTGTGCGCTGCTACATTACCGTGGAGCAAAATCCAACTGTTGTTCCGCCAAAAATCTGGTCTTTTGCGACGAACATTCTCTCTCAAACGCCTCATAACGCCAAGATAATATTCTTCATTGACGGTTTGGGCCTCTGGTAAGAATTCCGATTGAACAACACTTCGAATTCTTCAGTTAAAGAGGTCAAAAGCCGTCCTGAACGTGGTACATCGTTCACTTCTCGCCTCTCTTTGAACGATTTATAGCTAACGTAAACTTGAGTTTTTGACATGGTTTAATCCCCACATGTTTTTTTCAACAATTTCCACGTTTTGGCATAAGTAATTTCGTTTGAAACACAAAATTTCACACAAACTCTTTATTCGATATTTTTATCCACAAAAATCGCAACGAACACAAAAGGCTGACTGGTTCCACTGTGTTCTGTGGTTAGTGTTGGTTCCCAATGATGCCGTAATCAAACTAAATGACACATAGCATTAAAAATCCAACCTGGAGAATTTTTTTTTTTTATATTCTCAAAGGGAAAATTTAATATAAGACTTTTCGGGAATTTATTTGACAGGATGTGTGTAACAGGCAGAGGGAGGCGTGGCAGACTAGTGATGTAAATTTGATTGAAAACATCGATGTCGATGTCCATTAACATTATCAAAATCAAGCATCGATGTTGGATTAATACATCGGATTGAGAATTCGATACATCGATGTATTTTTAATAAATGTTGAACTTGAATGTTTTTACTCGATAAAAACATAACGGGATGATTTATCGAATTTTAAAAGCAAACT